AATGAATGATGAAAAACTTTATTTTGGTATAATAAGCATAATCTAGAGGGCTTTGCCTTTCTTATAAGCCATTTCTGATTCCAACTGATTAACTACAGGTCAAGTTATTATTTGTTGTTCCTACAACTTGGTTAAGTGACAAGACTTTTGTCAGGCACTGTAAAGTTTGACAAGTTAATTAAATTAAATATGCCGAAATTTATACAGATTATTAACTTTTGGGCAACACAATACGCCTGTCATTAACATTTCTGGCATACTACTAATCTGTTTATCAGACTGTGGGCATGAGTAAGTATCTGTACAGTACCAAAATGTGCACTTAGTATTGTACACTTAATATCTGTAAAACAAAAAACTTGCAGCAACACCACTAACTTATTTGACACACTCTGTTGGTAGATAAGTTCTGTTTGGCTATAGGGCCACTCTCGCTCAACTCAACAAATATTCAGTATCGTCCAAGCTCCATTATCTCCAAATTGAATCATTTTGTTTGCCCCTGGGCCAATACGAAGAATCCAAAAATACTCTTGCATAGTTCCCTGCTCGCTCGCCCTACGCTGGGATACAACAATAACCAGTAAAATAAAGTGCAATAAAGTCAAATAAAAAACATTGCATAGACAGACATGTAGAATGAGGATGATCAACATGATTGACTTCTGCGGTGAAACAAGTACGTCAGTATTCTTCTTTGAGATTTTTTTTTAAACGAAAAGATAAATGGTCAACGTGTTCAGGAGATTGCTCTGAGCATAGCGTCCTATGTCATCTGCCGTACTAAACACACGCTCTGAAGGTACGCCAGCTTGTGAGCTACTTATAAATGACCAAGTCAGAAAGATCTACCTACTATAAAAATGCAAAACATATATTTATGTATAAAAATATTGAGTATTGTTTAATATTATTTATTATTAGTACTATTATCCACATTTCCCTTCTTTGGAATAGCAATGGTAGACTGACAGATGAGGCAAACGCACTTCGAATATGACATGGTGGAAAAAAAACAGTCCTCCTCCCATTCCGTATGGAAGTGGCAGGTTTTGGGATTCTTACTTGGTCCAGCTCCTCCATTCATTTTTATACCCTTTCTTAAGTTTAGTAGAAATAAATTGGAAGCTAACTAGGCGACTCGGTAGCTTGCAGCAGCTGGCGCGGTTGAACGCGTCATCCATCCTCTATTTTTTATGCCATACGATCTACCCACACTACCTTTGCGATAGACCAGTAGATCGCAATCGACGTATTGGGCACCCCTGGTGTAGACCATGTATACGTCAGAGTGGATCATGAAAACAATACTGGAACAGGCCAGAAAATAAAAACGCATGTATCAATATTTATGCGGTCACACCGATGCATCGGATCATTTGCCGTTGAATCGATATATCGATACAAATCGATGTATTGTTACACCCCTAGTTGAGCGTGGACCATTTGAGTTCAACCAGAATGACCCTATAGTTTATTTCGGGTAAATTTCACCTCCTTTTTTGTTCTATAGATAGCACAATATTTAGTGCAAATATTTTAATTGCGATGGGACATTGTGCAGCCCCAGTTTAAAAAATTACACTCTCAGCCACCAACAGTCATTTCCTGTCAGAAAACTGACCTCCTGCTGCTTCTGTAGTCTCTCAATGGCATGTTGCTCTCTGCTAATCAGCCCCTCCCACTTCTTCTCGTAGGTCCTTTCCATCTCTCTCCTCAGCTCCTGGACCTCCTTGTGGGTCTTCTCCTTCTCCTCTAGCTTAATTTTGGCCACCTCTGCTTCTTTAAAATGCTGAAGCTGGAACAAAACAGGGAGCTTCAATGGGATCACGTATCACAGACACGTTAATGTGAGCCGGCCTTGGAAATGAGGGGGATGTGCCTGATGTGCCTGTGCTGTAGTCCACCTTCCATGCTAGATTTGTGTCGTGTTCGTGAAAATCCCAGAAGGCGGAACATACTTTAGCATCCATCTCTGCCTGAAGCTGAGATTCAATCTCCTTCCGGCACTCAAGCATCTTTGCCTCCAAAGACTTGCACTTACTTCCTTGCTCACGGAGGGCTGCGTACTTATCCTCGATCATCTGAAACTTCTCAACTAAGCAGCAAGAAAACAAAAGTCCAGCAATAGCTTACGGTTACAGGTAACTGATAAAAAAATATTTAAAAGCACTTGGGTCCATGGGGCTGCGATAAACCTTATTCAAGGTACACAAGAAAATACCTTTTGTCGAAAACCTTAAAAACAGAATAACATAGTCTAAATCAAATCACTGGATTATCTTACCACAATCAAAGTTTACATTGCGCAAGATTCAGTAAGAACATTTTATAGCTCCCCCATACAGTGTGGCCAGAGAGTGTAAATGATTTCAGTACTGCGTGTACTGCTTAAGGCACTGCAAGTAAAGCCCATCTCATCCAAGGGTCCTGTTTATGATACTCTGAAAGGGGGGGGGGGACACCCCTCAGCAGACTTTGAGACAAAGGATAAAATGGCCACAGTTTCTGGAATCTTTCTCATACTACAGTATCTCTTACTCAAAAAACTTCAGCCAACTCTAGGTAATTGACAGGCACACAGACACACATGTACATACACACATACACACGTGACAGTTTGTGCAAACACACTTACCAAGAGATTCTCTATAGTGTGGACCAAAATCTGTCTGAGTATCAGCATCACGGCATTCTTGGTGCATGTGGTAGTCTGTCAGCTCTGTGAGCAGCTGCATCAGAAAACCTAGAAGAAATGGAAACAGCACAACTCAGACTGCAACGTCATGAGATCCATCAATGAGTGTAGATGGATGACAGGTGGTCAGTCATGTGACCAGCGACAAGTTCCAGCAATAACACAAATTTATATAGATAGATAGATAGATAGATAGATAAATAGATAGATAACATACCTTTGTGGCATGTGGTATCATTCTGCATACCAGAGGTCTGTGAAGGAAGTCAGTCAGTTAGCCTTGAGAAATCTAAATTAATCTGCCATTATTCTGTGCTAGTTAACTAATGATTGTTTCATTTACCAGAGATTTGTAGAAGGCAGACTGCGGACTGATGTTCAGTAGCCGAAGAAGATCTTTTGTCGAAAACACCTTAAACACAGAATTTCATAGTCTAAATCAAATCACTGGATTAGTTTACCACAATCCAGGAATATTTTAAGAAATCCCAATAGAAAATGAATTAATATACCATTTACACATTCACAAAACTAACAACATAACTGCAATAGACATCCATACACATGCAATGAATAAAATACCACACTTGTTTTGATGTATGAAGGTCCAGTACCAGGTAAATTAAAGCATGTCACTAACCCTGTCTTTGGCCATGCCACTCTCAGGGTAGAAGACGGACAGTGTGTACTCATAGCCTGCCTTTTCCAAGTGGTCCAGCACCAAGCTGTTTGATGCGGTCAACATGACAGAATCAGCCTCATTTGGAAGTGGACTGGGCTTTCTGTCTCCACCAAATTCTGGATGCTTCAGTTCATGGATCAACTGATTGCGAAGCTGGGTCTGAGAGTAACGAAAGTTTTCATAATTATATCCACATATTTTAGTTCACAGCCAAAAATTTAAGTGGGCTGGTTACAGGGGCGTTGCTAGAGATTTTGGGCCCCATGAAAGCATATCATATTAGGCCCCTCAGTCCAAACCAATCCAGTTATTTTCCTTGGAATCGTCCTAGCTTTCCTCCCCCTTACGGCGCCCCTGGCTGGTTACCTTCAGAGCGTCCACAACCCCGCGATTTTTAAAAGTCTGGTACAGTCTTTTTCTCATCTCGTCCGGGGAAATTACATCCTCTTTAACCGCAGACATCTTGATCTTACTACAGAAAAATGTACACTACATTTAAGCATGGAGGTCAGTACCAATTAAATAATTTTAGAGGAAAAAAACGAATCATACCATCTAATGATATCAATTAGTCTATTTTTTTTTATCTTAAATCCAGGTTCACTTTTAAAGTATTGCTTATGTGTTTAAATACACTACAGTATCCATGCAATCACGCTGTCTAAACATTGTGACTTGAGAATGTAACAAACCCCGAAATGAAAACAGATTACAAGGGGCAGTGCTCACCCGCGTTTCTGATTTGCAAAACTTTATTTATGATCAGTAAAGCAGTAAAGTCTCCCATACGTCTAAGGATGATGTGCAGGTCGCATCGCATCTGCGGCGGCAGGATGAAGATTAACGCCGTTTAAACGGTCAAACCAACCGGGAGATGAGACCCAACCAGCGGCAGGCGTTCAGCCGGTTCTTCCGGCTCAGTTCCTGACGTCAAAGGCGATAATGAATACTGTGAGATATATCACACCCCTTCACCAGAACCGTGTCAGATATATCACATTATCGTACTTGCTTATAGTGTAAACGGATTCCTTATTAATGGCAGTAATATTATTCTGGGTTACGTCGATTTTGTTTTTCCGGTATCGACGTCATCAAACCGCGCCGGAATAAACCCGGATTGGTGTTTATTCTCATGTAAGTATTTGTCTTTACAGTTTATTTATACTAATTCGGAATAATGGAATCTATTCACGGCCGTTTTTTATGGCCATGTCATATAGGAGGCTAGATGCTTCCACTTGCTGATTTTTCTGTTTGCATGGGTAACACTCAAAAGTTAAAAACGAAACACTCGTGAACCATATCATTGACTGATTAATGCACTGCATCTATATGCATTCACAGCACTGAAGTACTGAAGAAGGATGTCTGGGAGCTTTTATTTTGTCATAGTTGGACACCATGACAATCCGGTGTTTGAAATGGAGTTTCTGCCTCCAGGTAAATCAGAATCCAAGGTGCGTATCATGTCCTGCGTTCAGACCATTTACAGTTATTAAACACTGCAACTCAATATAAATGAATCGTTGCTTTTTAAATGCACTGTCAGTTATATTTAACCGTCATGCACTGCCTTCCTTAGCTATGTATAGAATGTATTTAAGCGAAATCCATTATAGATTTTATTAAGCAGGTGGTGATTTTTTGAAGAAGACGTCAGACAAGTAGAATCCTACGTACTCTAATCCAGACTGCGCCAATTGAGCATTTATCCCAAAAGATCTCAAAAATATGATTTTGAAAAAAACAATATCCATATTTCTAAAAGGACGACCACCGACACTTGAACCAGTTCATCGCTCACGCAGCGCTCGACCTGGTGGATGAAAACATGTGGCTCTCCAACAACATGTACCTGAAGACCGTGGATAAGTTCAACGAGTGGCTTGTTTCCGCTTTTGTCACAGCTGGACATATCCTTGATGCGTGTTCCCAGTCGGAGCCATATTCACTTCCCATAGAAACAAGGGCATATTTTTCTTTATGGCAAAAAGCACGTTTTATATGTGTACCTATATATCACACTGTTTTTTTCAAGTATGAAGTCGTAAGTATTTAAAAAGCCAAAGCTAATGTGCATGCTTAGCAGATTTATGGTAAGGAAAACATTGCATAATCCTACTGTATGTAAGATGCCTTTCTTTTTATCTTACTTTTGTAAAAATGACAGATGAACCATTCTGTTTTTAAGGTATCAAAATAACATTAATCTTGTACCAGAAGTAAAAGAATGTGCTAGAAACCACATATATGTATATTTGATATATAGACCAAATCTTTACGTGCTTTGTTTCTGTGGTTTGGAAATGCAAACCATGATCTGTTTTCCTTGACATATCTGATTACATATGCGATTCATCATGCTTCACGACGTAAGGCAAGAAGACGGAATTAAGAACTTTTTTAATGACGTGTATGATTTATATATCAAGGTAAGGCTTTATATTTGAATATTTTGAGTAAATATTGAGTAATTTGAGATGCCGTATACCGGTGGTTCTCAATCTAGGGCCGCGGCCCACTAGGGGTCCTCAGCGAGTACCTGGGGGGGGGGGGCAGCAGCGCGCAGTTACCATCAATATACTGTTAAAACAATATCGGATGACAATATCGTTTATACCGATATACGATATTGCGTTAAAATGTAGGGCTTTATTAAATATGTTTAATAGAAACTAATAGTATTCCTTCCTGATTGTAACCAACAAGAGAGATTTTCGGATGTGACTTTATGCAGAATTACAGAATTAACAGGTACAGTATGATGAAACCATTCAGCTATGTCATGGGTAAGTTGGAGAGGATAAGCAAGGAATCAGTTATTACTTCGTCATTTTGTTTTAAAATATTGTAATGTTCAATATTTGTTATTTTGTTGAAGGCTAATACCTTAAAATGAGTGTCTTTTCAGTTAAGCATACATTTAATAGTTGCCACTTTCTGTTAGAGCCATTTGGAAAATTTCCATAAACTTTCATGTTCTGTTTTGAGAGCAATGTCATAAACTGAGAAAAAAAAGTGTTGTTTGGACATAGTGGAGTGAGACTTTGAGTTATGTTCAAGAGAAATTATATTTTTTTGGCAATGTAACCAAACTAAAATGTTTATATGGAAATTTTGTCATCATTGCAGAACACATAAAAGAGAAACAATAGCATACCTATGTAGGGGGGCCAAAACTTGATTTCCTGGACACAGGGGTCTGTGGATAAAAAGGCCTGAGAACCACTGCTGTATACCTGTACTCCATGTTGCTGTAACTGACACAGATTTTCTGATCTGCCTCATTTCCAGTTTGCAATGAATCCTTTTTACGAGCCAAACACTCCCATCCGCTCCACGGCATTTGACAGGAAAGTACAATTCCTGGGAAAGAAGCATCTCCTCAGCTGAGCCAGAGCTGCGGCTGGACAAGCAGGAAGCAGATCCAGAGTCCTTAAGAATCACTTCTATTATCTGCCTGTGTTCTTTATAATTCATCAACACTGGTATTTCAGCGTCGTGTAACTAAGTGAGAAACGTTTGAATTTCAACGTTTCAATGAATCAGTTCATCAGATGAATATCTCTGCTTTGGTACATGTATATAAATTACATTTATTGAAACTGATTTACACACAACAGGGGAATTCCTGCTGTATTTGTGTTTTTTTTTTGCACTTAGTTTAATCAGGTTAATTTCATGTGTACTGTACCTTATAATTAAATGTAGTAATGGGCAAAACTTATGACCAGGAAAATTCTTACCTCCTGCTACCTTCACAAACTCTTCAGTTTAGTGTTAACCATTATTATCCAGAGGTCATTTTGACTAGAGTTGTGTGCAATAACAGCTTAACCTTTATTCTTTCTATTTTTGTGGGACTTTCCACCCATCGTGATCTTGACAGAATTCATTGTATGTATTTTTTTGGAAACCCTGAACACATTATTTCCATCTGAATGACTTCTCTATATAATCCCTCACATTGGCATTGGAAATCTGTATGATTGGTCATCTCAATAAATAAAGAAAACAAAGCATGTTGTTAGTAAAAAAACAAAAAAACAAATCAGGCTTGCAAACATACTTTACTGCATTAATTATATTGTACAATAAATTAGTAACAATGTTTAGAAGCAGTTTTCCAATATATATCTAAGGAGTAAAAAAAATCATTTTCAAACAAACTTTAATTTGGCACCTTCAATAATGATTCACCTGAAGATGACTATAATTTCATTAGGACAGTCTTCCATACTGCCAGCTGTCTGTCTTATTTTGGGGCTAGATACTTTAGTTTATTAAATGTGCTGCTGTTGAGTCAGACAGTTACAGCATAGGGAAGTTCACTATGCTCCAGCTGAATCAGGATTAATACAATACAACTCTTCAAAAATACTGTCTGCTCAGCAATTATTAGGAAAAAGTTGCTGTTAGGCGAGCAATATGATTCATATTCTCTGAAATTAAAGTGACATTACTATTTGGTTTATTATATTAAAGACAATGGTTAGGGGAAATATCAAATATTACACACCAGACCCACATGTCCATCAGTGTTTTATATTTGGAAGGGTCACCCCTTCACAGCCCTCCAAAGTAATCTGATAAACAACTTTCTGATTAGCAGTAAGAAATGTCATCCAGCTGTACCAGTCAGTGCATGTTAATAGTAAACTCTGATCACATGTCAGGCTCGTTGCTTATTGGTGCTCAGTCGGCCGCACACAGTCAACAGCAAGTGGCGCTAGAGCGAGGCTTCCTGTGTAGATTGACTGTGTCTGTGTGGATGAGGTGGTCCCCCCTATCCTCCACAGCTAGCACGCGCCGCACCGCTTCCTCAAAGGCCACGGCTACATTGGTGGCGTCCTTGGCACTCGTCTCGTAGTACGGGAAGTTCCCGTTTTCCCGACACCATTGCTGCGCATCCTCAGTGGACACCTGGCGATCGGCAACGTCCAGCTTGTTCCCCAGGACCACGAAGGGGAAGCTGTCTGGCTCCTTGACGTCGGCGTAGTAGATGAACTCCTTCTTCCAGTTGCCCAGGTTCAGGAAGCTCTGGCTGTCGTCCACGCTGAAGGTGAGCAGGCAGCAGTCCGATCCACGGTAGAAGGGAGTCCTCAGGCTGCGGAAGCGCTCCTGGCCAGCCGTGTCCCAGATCTGCATGGTCACCAGGTGGCCATCCACCTCCAGCTCTTTATTGAGGAACTCCACACCGATGGTGTGGAAGAGGTGCGCGTCGAACTTGTTGGTGACATAGCGGTTCATGAGGGAGCTCTTGCCCACTCCACCATCCCCCAGCAGGATGACTTTGAACAGGGACGACTTGGCTGCCATAGGTAATTGCAAAGGCTCTTCAAGTGTGACACCACCTGGGAATGCAAGTATGCAGATGAGTTGCTCTTGGGTTCTGCACACAGACTTGCTCACATTTGAGTCAACTAATATATTTAATTAAATTATGAATTACTGCTTTCATAACAGTTGGTTTAAGTCACGCTAGAGTACCCAAGCCTTAAGGCATGTTAATGGTCACATGACCAGGAGTCCAAGTCACATGTAAGCAACGCAGATGCAGTTTTTTTTATTATTAATTATTAAAATCATATACGTTCATAGAATTCTGGTTATCCATCAACCAGTAGTTGTGGCTTTCAAAAACATTAAGGATTTTTTTTTTCTCTAATGAACATCAAAAACTGGAGCAATAAACAAGCATACAAACCCAAAGACTAAAACATATCGCACCTGATATACTGAAACAAACTGACTAGATGCCTCACTGAAGACATTTCTCATAACCATACACTTGTTCTTTGGTGCAAAAACCAACAGGGATATCACCTTAGCCTGCAATGTGGCTTTTATCAACCCATTAACTCAGCAGAGATAACCCACACAACACGGTGGAGGGAGGGGCAGGGAGAGATTCTAACCACACCCTGGAGGCGTGAGACTACAGTGCAACCATCTGAGCCAGTGTATTTCAAATTTCCATACAAACTTCGGAACTGAGGACAACAGGATTCACTGTCCTCTTACCTTATTGTTCAAAGTAATTCATTGTTTGTTACCTGGAGAAAAGAAAAACAATTATGAATATAAGCAAGCAACACATTCCTGGGATTCATGGCAAGAACCAGTTTTGCAATTACTTCACAAAAAATGTTTAACTAACATGCAATAGATATTTTATGCTGAACTCGCAGATATTAATCTTCGATTGATTTCGGTTAATGGCAGGTTTGTCTTAGGACTTGAGTTCACCCCGACAATAACTGGGGCTTCCTGGTCGGCTTTCCGAAAAACATTAAAACACATCGTCCATTTTGTTTACGGTGGAATTCCAAAACCGTATAATATTTAACAATCAGTTTTCAGTACTGCGGCAGCCTCGAGGAAATTAGTCTCCCGCACTTTAACCAGGGTCACGTGTCTTTATACACCGGGGAAAATGTTTGCTATCAATTTAAATTCCGCACACTCTGTACTTTTGCAGAAAAGCACACAAACGTTCCCTGTCACATGCACTGCAAACTGTCCTAAAATCGCATTTTCTTTTTACATCTCATCTAATCAAAATGTCCCGCATTCACAGCTGCGGATTATAATAATTTCCTTACGATGATTTCCTCCGTAACTTCAACATGCAAGTCTTTACTTTAACCCGCACGTCTCCATTAAGGATCATCATTCAAAGTGTACAAAGTTTTCATACGGATTACAGTTGTAAAAGTCTTGCTAAGCAGCAATTGCTGCTGGATTTCACAGTACTCAGACCCACAGTGTCACCAAATCTGAATATCAGAAGTGACTGCAACCTAAATACACTTCCTCGTGACAGTTTCGCCATAATATCATTATTAAGTCAAATCAAAAGCGTCAAGATTGATATTAACGAAATAAATCAGCAGTGGCGTGTTTAACAAACCTGATACCAGTCTCCTCCCAAGCATCGGCAGTAAAGCCGGCATTTACACAGTTAATACTGCACAAAGTCTCATCAGGTGATTACAGTTACGTCGAGGGAGATCCTGCAAGCTACATTCAGACAATGTCTAGCAAAAACACATCAATTAAAGCGTGAAAATCAACCGGACAACATACCACTTGACCTGGAAAGATCACTGCAAAACGAATGTCAAAGCGGCATTTATGGACACGGGAAACGCAGACAGCGTTCCCAAAAGAGCTAATACGGCAAAGTTTTAGGTTAAGATGCTTGATTTTCCCGCAGATTGACAAATTACTTTCAGGTCAACAAAGAAAAGCAGAAGGATCCGCTCCTAGAAGCCGGACGACATGACAGAGTAAAAAATGGGACATTTATAAGCCGTGCAAATGACTAAAGCGACGGCCGGCTCTTTATCGCAATTTAACTACAATGCTGCCGTCACCGTAAACCGGCTGGAAAACATCAACTGACTAACTTTTCTTAACCAGGCCCGGACTAACCGGCTACCGTAAATGACAACCCGTCGTTCATTTCCTAAAGAGACTGCCGAATGCCTGCCACTCTGTATAAATAACAGGAAAGGCTTACTAATTTCGACCCCACGGCATGGTCCTGACTCTGACCCCTTACCTCCTTCAATCACAAAGTACGCCCGCCTCCGAACTCCGCTGTATTTTATGCTTTATTTATCTTTTCTCCGCTATGCTCCGGCGTTCGGTCCAGACCCTTCCCTGACATGGCGCTACTGCTCTGTGCGGATTCGCCCCTGGCGCTCACGTGACCACATTAAGATATGCTATGCGTGGATTTGCCGAGGGCGCTCTTGTGACAATCTCTGGATACGCCCACCCAGGCCCTTCTGTGACATGGCGTTACGCCGATTCGCCCCTTTTGCTCACGTGACTAAATCGTGGGCACACCCACCCTGCCATGGCCCATGCTTTAGTAAATAACGGGTCTGTAATGCTGTTCTGTTTGCCATATAGGTGAAGCGTTGTTCTTACACCTCCAAGTGTAGGATTTTAGTCTCATCTCTGGAGTTGCTGTGTTATCCCCATGTTGTGTGATTTTCCTCCTACAGTAATAGTTGTCGCTAATAGCCAATACTGTGTATGTGCCCTATGATGAGTCAGGCTGTGCCCCAGTCTTGTGCAGGCCCTATGCTCTATGGAACAGGTTCCAACTCTGCTGTGACCCTAACCAGCTTAAGTGGTTGAAAGAAGGATGGATGTTCACAATGTATTCTGCATATTGTTGTGAATCTTTGTATTGGCCCCATCCTTTCCTGCCCATGTTCACCTCTGCCCCGTTCAGCTGTCTCCACCACCTTTTCTTGCCTTTGTAAAGTTTGCCTAATTACTTTCCATCCATCTGGCCTCTACATTTACCTCTCCATTTTCACTCCATCGATCTTTCAGAGCTATATATATCCAGGCTCAGTACAGATGTAGTGGCTGTGTCTGATTCAGGTGCTGCATCCTTCTAAGGCTGCATTCGAAGACTGAATGTGTCACAGCGGTAGGACAAGGCTGCCCCATTTCGAAAGGCTTTGGTCAAGAGCCCAAGGTTCATTGCATTAACCTTCGAAGCACACAGCCTACAAAGGCTACGTAAACCGTGTCCTTCAATTGATGCAGCTTTCGAAGGATGGGGCCCCGACCAGCTGCCTTGACACAGCCTTCGAATGCAGCCTTAGAACAATGAGGCACCTGAATTTGGACACAGTCTCCCACACGAAAAAAAGTTGCATGGTGATGATGAACGCGTGCTCGGGTCAGGATTGTTAAGTGCAATGTGAGTGCAGACAAGCAGGGGAATAGGGAGGGGTGGCAATCGTGCTCGGGTATGGTACGATGCAATTCGGACAAGTGTGAGTATGCCCTGAAGTACCATCTCATCTTATCCCCATTCTCCTCTACATCCCAGACAATGACTAATCTCCTCATACACCACTATACTTCCAGATCCTTCTACTCCATTCAATCCCTGCCTTTAATGTCTAGACCCACCCTTTTACCTTCTTCTCCACTCCCTCCCTTTTTACAACTTTCACCACCACCAAGTTTCAGCTCCTTTACTACTAACCCGCCTTCTTTTGTCTGCCTCTAACTTCACCTTCACCTGCATCCACTAATTCATGTGCATCATACTAAATAAAACAATGAGTTGCATTACCTTGAAATTCTTACAACTGTTAGTCTTTACCGCCACCTCCTGGTTGAACAGGATCGTCTGTAATGTGACTAATGTTGCTGAATATTATATCTGTTTACAGCCTGCAGAAGCAGGTTTTGTTTCACTTCTCTTCATTTGTTTCAGTTCTGTGTTAAAGCTATTTATGGTTTAAGTTAAATGCAAAACGACGAAAATAGATTATTTAAAACGTTTCTTATTTGTAATGTGTCTGCAGTAAGCACGCTCATGCTCAGCGTAGTCTCCACCATGCTATACTTTATTCAACAAATTTAAGCATTGAATTTATTTAAGTTTCAAGACTTCATCATGCTGTTTTACATTTAATTTCAGACTTTACTCTTACACGATACAAACCACTTCGCAGAATAAACGTTCAGTTTTAGAACCGTTTGAATATAGGTGAATAGAAAATCAACAGAAGGTATTACTAAATTTAAACACATTTTTTCATGATAAGGCTGGCAATTTCAACAGTAATCTATTAGGTGTTTTCCTCTGTTCACAAACAAACCCAGCCACTGTGGTACCACTGCTCCCCACAACCCTTACAGGTCATAAATGTCATGGCGTCATCATCGGGACTTGCACTGTGCTCCCATACTGGAAGGAACAGAGTCTTTCTGGAGATCAGCGTCACGCTGCAGTTGAATCCTTCACAACGCCTGCAGCGGACCTTGTTGGTGGGGGTGCCCTCCACTGGCAAGGGCAGCTGGTGCTGTCTGATGCCTGACTTGGTGTACCCTGCCCTGAGCTCCTTCAGCTCCTTGCTTGCCATCTCCAACACAGACATCCTGGTGAAGACCTCGGCACTCAGTTCTCCGCTAATCAGTTCCCGGAGAAGGTCGGAGCTTTTGGGATTTCGTAAGTTCAATACTTTACACCTGACGCAGGCTTTATACTTTTGCCCATTTTGACTGTGCAGGCAGAAGATGTGCTCCTCAATTTCACAGGCCAGATCTCTGAGTCGAGCTGGGGACTGCTCCTTCTCCATTGCCATCTTGTTCTGGGAGAGAGCTTGAAAGATCAGCTCTGAACATTTGGATCTAAGAGGGGTGATGTTCTTATTATAGCATACAGAAGTCACTGAGGAAATTAAAGAATTCCCACATGAGTCTTCTGAAAGCTGCTTCGGTAATGTAAAGGTATTTTTCTCTCCATCATCAGCACACTTGTCATAATCCTCAACTTTGTCAAATGCCGGACTGGACACAAGGTAGTGTCCACTCATCTTTGAAATAGCATGTCCCTCATCTGCTGTGTCTTGATGACATTCACAGTCATCCTTCACTTCTCTCAAACTACAAGTAGCACCGTCTCTGACATGAGTGTCCAAGTCCCGGCCACTTGAACGTTGTTCTCCAAGTGTTCCATTCGGATCACTGTCATTGTCAACAGTGCGGTGTGAGTCGCCATACTGTTTCTTCCATTTTGAGAATATGCACTTGGTCATTTTCTTGACTGATGCCACTGGACAGGATTTGAGCAGTAGGAATAAGACTTTGGCAATGCCAGTTTCATTAACCTGTTCTACTGTAATTTGAAGTCCTTCAAAAGTCTTCAGCAGAGACAAGACACTGTCATAGTTACCTTCTCTGTGCAGCTTTTCAATTTGTTGTGTATAATGAATAATTTCCTTTGTGTCCATCATTAAAAAAAAAACTTGAAGGAAAAATGACTGAATTCATAATCATTAGTGGCTTCCCTGCTATAAATTTGCAAAAACTGATACACACACACTAACATAAGTAAAACCTTTGCACGTGAATTATATTTTGATTATTTTTACTTAAGCAGTTAACTATTACTAATATGCTTGGAACTACGTACTGTATAAGGAAACCGATGTAAAAGCGAATGCTCTTTCAGCCAAGTGCCATTACACTGAATCTATACTGCCTCATTATTCTTAAAAATCATTTGTAGCAAGGGGTAAACCTGTAAATCCATTTGCAAATAGCGTTTATATTTTCTGATTTTATTATTCAAACAGTCCTAGTCGATATCACTGCGGTTCCCTTTAAACGTATTTAGAGCTCTCAAATAACTTGCTCATGCTTAAGTCAACAACACGAGCTAAAACTACAAAAATTAGCCAGATACACACGATAAAGCTATTATTTTACAATAATGCATCACGAAAGACGCAACAACGCCACTAGAGGACGTACCGAATACAGTACAAGCAGATAGATGCCACCCTGCCTTTAATTAAAAAACGGGGAAAACAAATCGTCTCTTCCGCATTCATAGTCGGTCCTTGTGACCCGGAAGTAGAAAGTCACGAATACCGTAGTGTACTTATGAGTGACCAATTTGATTACTTATGTACTGTATTACATATACCAGGCTATTACTGGAAGTCACTGGATTTTTTTTGTGATTTTCTTGTTATTCAGGACTGACCATTAAGCTGCCCTTGAGTTATGAGGGTTAAAATTGCTTTAATCGTGTTAGGTCACCAAATTAAAAATTAAAGCTTTTGTTAAATCTAGAAAACAGATCCTGAAAACATTTTCAAGCTGATCTCTCCCACTGAACTAACTCCTTTTAAGAGAATGCGTAAGTCCCACAAGTCCCACACATATGCCACCTCTCACTGCACCACCAAGAGTTTGGAGGGGGAATTAAGCAGGTTCCATCCAAATGGTGAGTTAAATTAGTTGGTTCTGCAGCGGACTGATTTGAATTTGTTATATATGATAAACAGTGTGTTTTAATTAACCATATACTCATTTGAATAAAATTACAAATTAACCAGTTTTTTTAAACAAACATTTTATTAGAATTCGGTAGAAAAAGAGGAATAGATAGGCTATGCAAAAGTGAAATGCTAGTATAATCAGTCAAACCAAGCAAATAGATCATTATAATTATGTTAAACTCTTCAATGGTTGTAATATTGTTTTTTTCTTTGTATTCTGTTAATGTAAACCATGTTATGTTATAGTAAGTGACTGTTGTATTGCATATTTTTTTAAATAAGAGACACCTTTTATTTTATCATTATCTGTCAGAAACCTGGGTAATGATCTGTAACAGGCACTTGTTAGCTTTAAATGAAACCTTGACCCAGGAGAAGCATCCTGAAGAGGGATGGACTTTAATAATATACCTGCAGCTTATTCTGGTTCACCATTAATGCGACTTAAATAGAGATATTGTTACGATGTCCATTGAGTAAACTTGCAAGGAAACTCACTTGAGACAGTAAAATGCTTGAAACAACAAACTTGTAAAACATAACATCTTGTCTGTGAAAGAGCGATGTACTGCCTTATGACCTGCACACATCCATACTGTGCATGCTGGTTCCTGCTTATCTTATAAAACCATAAGGAAAACCTGAGGATTTGAAATTAAGTCCATCAAAGACCAGCAGGCCCTTGGGCCATTACGAAGTGCCATTAAATGTCTTTGTACTCTTGTTAATTGTAAGTACAATTGTCTCTCAGTCTCACAGTTACTTCAGATAGGAAATCTGCATCTTAGGGATGGATGAGGTGCATGGCAGTTTACAAATCATCAGGGTCAACTGCCTGGCAGGCCCCAGAGGTTATCACAACATTGTCCAACCCGATCTCTCCCCCAACTCCACGCTCTGCCTCAAAGATGATCTGCAGAAAAAAAAAAACATGACAATGACAAATAAAAATACTTACAAACAAGCTGTTAGATGCATAGCCTTGAAGTTCAGCAAACATGAGCTTGATCCTAATGAACTAAGTCCCAAGAAATGTTACTAAGGGTGAATGAATGATTATTGAAGGATAACCAATGAACAAGGGCGTCACTGTGTTTTCAATATTAGGGAGGACAGGGACGGATCCACCAAGTGACTGAGTCAAATCCTCTCACATTGTCCTGTATGACATCGTATGTAAACCAATGTATAGGCTACCTGTTCAATGTCGACTGTACACATTCATTTTTCCATATGCAACTGAAATCGTTTACTAAAAGTTTTCCCCTTCGATCACTAGGTTATTCTCCTGACACATTTATTCATATTTTTGAAAGCAAAATCCTGGAAAATATTGGGTGGGACAAACACCACTATTTTGAATATTGGGTGGAATGTGTCCTGCCCTTCCCCTCCATGGGTAACGCCTATTCCAATGACATCATGTTTGTGATGCACCTCCACCTTTCCCATACCCATCGTGGGGGATTCTCCTCCCAGGCCACAGTCAGGAGCTCCATCTGCCAGGTCTGGTTGCGGCTGGCTTGTTGCTCCCATACAGGGTAAGTGTTGTTGTGAAGCAGTACCCGCAGTACACCCGCCTGATCGCCCATCACCCGGAAGCTGAATGTGAGGCAGAATCCAGCTTGCTGCATACGATCAGTGAGAAGCAACTTCAGCCTGGCCAGGTGCTTCCTTTCCTCAAGAAGGCCATTCACTGCCATGTAATACTGCTGTCCTGTGATCAGACATGAACATCAAGACTCATGGTGTCTGTATAACACAGAAGTACCTTAATCCGTGTCCCCTGTACAACCCTGCATTGGATAAGCATTTCTGGAAGATGGTTGGATGTGTATAATAGTGGTTACCATCACTGTGGTAGATGACACTCCAGTCAAAGTCATCCTCCTGGTCCTGCAGCCATTCACATGCTCCATGGTCAAAACTGCAGTCCATGATAAACTCTGCAAGGCACAGTCCTGCTTCACTTGGGAGTGTTTGGTTTCACATTTCACCTCAATCAAGCACCAGAACATACTTTCAGAAGTTCAGTAGCAGTGGGACTAATCTCGTTTACCCTCCTGCCCAGGAGTAATGGGCATCTCTCTCATTGCCATCGCTGGACCAAATACAGACTGCAACTCCTCTGAGACTGGAAAGTACAAGAAAACACAATTTTTTGCATTTATTTGTTAGAGAATGTCTTTAGATAAAGCACCTTGCTGAGGGTCCGGACACATAGGTATAAAGACCCTGAGTAGTAGAATTCATCTCCTGAGGCTATAGACATGTCAGAACCTGTCAGATATGTCCTGTAAAGATTAAAACCGCTGGTTTGGGTAAATACCTCAAGTCTGTTACAGGTATTAATATGCTGCTGTATTAGCTGGTAGGAAAAATATGGCTTACAGTCTCAGTAATCATATAAAAATATGTATAAATGTACATATAAATAAGTCAGGAAAACAACAGTACAGAACAGGAATCACGTAAGGCTGATCACACAAAACTCATCTCATATGCTTTAACATTCCCATCGGATTGTTTTTTTCAGTGAACGTGGCAAGCTACCAAAATGCCAGACTGTTACAATGAGCCCTGTCTGTGTTATGGGACAATGAAATGTGGGTGAAAAGTGATGTTCCAACACTGTGGTTGTGGTTCAGCTTAATGTTACAGCGTAAATGACAGTGTTGTAACATGAGGTGTTTTCAGAGCAAAGAGACTCTGATGACATCCATCCATCCATCTTCTGTACAGAGTCACAGAATTTCACACACATACACAGACACAAACAAAAACACAAAGACACTCAGATACACTGTATGTACACAGTATATATGTGTGTCTGTGTCTGTCTGAAATTCTGTCTGTGACCCTGTATAGAAGATGGATGAAAGGGGAATTTCCTGAAGATCTGGCTGCATTATTTAAGTATAAACCACATGCATGATGCCAGCATTCCTCCAGTTATTAAAAAAAAGTAGTGAGATGAAATCACCATATGTTGAAGCAAACCTTAGCGCACCTGAGAAAACAACTAAACATATCGGGGTTGTGTTTCATGTGCACTTATGATAAAGCAAATAAACCTTGAATGCTAAACTGACATGGCTAGTAGCCACTTGAGCTATTTTTTTGGAGCCAAAAGCAAAACAAGACAGAATTAAAATTGATGCAATGGCAATGGCCCTAATCCGCCAGTCAGCAGGCAGGGTGCCAGCAGTAAAATTTGTCAATCAGGTTGGTGTCGGTGTGTATTTATTATGACTGGAGGACACCCAGTGCTGCAGTAGAGAGGAGTTACGGTGAGACAGGAGGACTCACAGAAAACGTCTCCTCTGGGTCGCAGCTGCTCTCCCTCCATCTGCTTCTGCTGCCTGTCTTCCTCATCCTTTTTCTTTTCTCCTTTCTCATGGTGAATGTCGTCCAGCTCCTGGGGCTCTGTTGGATTCCCACTCTCCTGTTCGACCTCTGGCTGTCGCACCACACCAGGCATGGTCACACTGGGCTTGAGGATCGCATTCTTCACTAACTTGCTGCCTCCCAAGATCCTTGGAAATTTAATGGTTGGATCTCGGATGGCTACAGGATTTAGGATACAGATATGGAAAGTGTATTGCTACTGATAGAGAAAATATTGGACATACTTTAATTGAGTTCAACCTTGTTTCATAATGATATTTAGAAAAGTCCTGTTATTGCATCATAGATATTAAACCTCCTTTAATATATTAGTCAGAAATCCACGATATATCAGTTCACATATCAGTATCAGCCAATGTTCTTTAAAAATCAATACATTCACATCAGTCCTATTTGTCAATTTTGGTCGATATTGCTACACTGATATTTAGACTTTATTCAAATTTAGCAGCACTAGAGCTGAAGACATAACTACTAAAATAATGGCGATGCCTGCATGGAACTAACAGCCATTTACCATAGTGGAAGACGAGGGATTTCGTTGGCTCCTTCACCACTTAAAACCTCACTACTTTCTCCCAAGTCAGTGCTACTTCACTAATGTCTCACTGCCTGCATTTTATGATGTGGTTGCTACACGGACTCATAAGATTTTAAGAAGTAACGTCATTAACATCACTTTTACTACAGATTTGTGGAGCTCGTAGGTTAACCAGTTAATGGTTTATGTAATATTAGACAAAAATATATGGGTATCGACCAAAATTTCCACAATAGTGCACCACTAATAATAGTGTTATTTTATATGTAATTTAATATGTAAACTATTATTTTATCCAAATAAATATTGAATAATAGTTGAGCTTTGTCAAAAGAGGCAAAGCAATAGTTCATCAGAGTGGACGCCAATGGTTACATGCTGACAAGTGGCAGGGTGGCACCATAGCACATGCAGGAGAGCATCTGGCCATGTGAACAGATATTTTTTAGTTATGGAAGTTCTGGACACAGGGATGTGGTAAACTGAGGGGGCCACTAAGAGCCATTGCCGTCAATCGACACTGTCTCACCATTGATGAGTCTCCTTCACTTCCCCCGACTCCATCAAAAGGACTTGACTACTCATCAAAGAGGCAGTCTTATTTATTCACAGTGCCCACTAGGCTTGAACTGGACAAAGGTTATCGAAAAAAGCTCCCTTTTCATCATGCCTTCTGTTTAAAAAAAATCCAGCGAGCACTGCTGGTTCCCTGTGGTTCCCTTGTGGTCCTTCATACACATCAGCGTGGTAGCAGATATTTACACAGATGGAATCGCAATCCCCCACCCTCCCCACCGGCATCTGTAAACACCGGGGAGCTTCCAAAACAGGAAACTGGCTTTGGCAGCGTCTGTGTAACGCAGATGCATCAAGATTAGGAACTGAGCATGGATCCAGATGAGAATCAAGTCCAAGTCAGAAATTTTATGTCACACGAACAACCACCTCCTCCCTGTAGGTGGCAATCTCCAGTTTTCTATTAGTGATAATGAATAATATTAAAATTAGGCCACACCTGTTGCATCCAGCATGTGCCTTTGGTCTTACCGGTGCAGCTGATTCCATTTCCCCGGAATCCATGCTTGCATCTGCATTTGTATGAGCCCTGGGTGTTGAGGCAGACTGAGTTCTGGCTGCACTTGTGGGTGCCATCTGCACACTCGTCAGCATCTGAAAAGAAAGTGGATTGTCAGGCTAGGGTTTCTGAGGCCATCGCAAAGCAGGAGAGGAGTTGCAGTCTGGGGTGACACACCAGGGTGAGTGAAGCAGAAGGATTGGATTGTAATGATAACCAAAATCAGCAGGTCAACACACGCCAACGGGACAATGAGAAGGGTTTCAGAAACGTGCGATCCCTCTTACACTAGGTAAATATGAACCTGTAACATTATTGAGCCATACCTACACAGTCGTACTTTCCCTTTACATACTTCAGGTCATAACCGTTCTTGCATTTGCAGTAGTAGCTACCGAAGGTATTGACACATCTTCTGTTGTGGGGACAGAGGATCTTTCTGGAAGTGCACTCGTCAATGTCTAAGGAGAGGAGAATGAGAAGTTGAGGAAATTCAGATATTAAACATGGTCTCAAAGGAAGCCAGGCAGCCGTTGAACAGATGATTGCCATTTAATCGTTTTTGCAAGTTTTGGATGGGAATTCTCCATAGTAGTCTAGGTAGCCAGGCTCCCTGACTGTCTTTGAGCTCAGAGCTTTTCAGGTCAGCCAGTTCATTCTGAGCACAAATCTGTGAATCTGTAACCTACTCTTTACTGGACAACAGTGGACGGCATGTTAATTTTTGTTTATGTATGTTCATGCAAGTCACTATGTCCATAGAATCAGTAGTGTTTGTTTCTGGGCTCAAGGACTAAAGAGTTCATTCAGTCTGAGATTTACATGGTCCTCAAAGCTGTGGCAGGAGTGGTCGCCACAGTTATGGCCAAAGTCCAGGGACACTCACCCACACAGGTCTTCCCATCTGGGCTCAGCTGGAGCCCAGTGGAGGGGCAGTGGCACCTGGGCTCCCCATGTACCTCCTCGCAGCCGTACTGGCAGTGGGCCAGGGCACATGTCCTGGAGTCTGTGGGAAGGAAAGGCGGCGGAGAGCTCTGGTTACCCTGACAACGGCTAGCAGGCTAATGAGACTGCTCTGAAATATGACCTTAATGTGAGACTTCAGGAAGAGCCATTAGGGATGTGGTCTCGCATGTGAGGCTGAGGGAGAGGAAGAATCCAGGATCCTTTCCAATATGGCCTTTCCAAGGCTCCGAGGAACTATACGTGCTCAGGACTCTCCAGCAAATGATACTGAATGATACTGACATTTACATGACGTCACACTAACACTGTTGTTCGCAGCATGCTGGCTTTCCACACTCTCTCTCTGTGTCATGTGTTCATCCCACCCCTCTAAATTATTCATTCATTCTTTCATTCATTCATTTGCCATATCCACTTTGTCTTACACTGGATTGAGGGGGTCCAGAGCTCATCCCAGAAGCAATATGTTGGGAATAACCCAAGACAGGGCACCAACCTATCGCAGGGCAGTAACACCATTCACACACACAGTCACACCTCCAGACAATTTGACAACTGCAATTCACCTTAAAATGGTTTTGGACTGTGGGGGGAAACCGGAGAACCCAGAGGAGACCTCATGAGGGCATGATGGCATCATGGTTAGTGTAGCCTCCTCACACCTCTGCTTCTCCACCCCAGCTTTATGGGTGCGGGGTTGGTACTGTATGTTCTCCCCATATAAATTACCCACTCAATATTATTACTAATGCTTAATTTATTGCATGTTTGTCATTTGTCAAGGAGGGATGAATGAATGGACAGATGAATAGATGGACAGACAGATGGTGCTCCCCGCACACGTTTACCGAAGCAGGATCCGTCGGCCATGCGTGCTTGTCCCTCAGGGCAGTAGCACACGTAGCTACCCGGTGTGTTCATGCAGCGATGGGGACAGGGCCGGGGCTTCAGGCCACACTCGTTGGCATCTGCGAGGGCACACAGTCATAGCGGGTTGGACTTTGGCAGCCACTTTGTCCAGTCATGTGACACCATATAGAAGGATGATGTCTAGGGATCGCAAAGCCCATCTGGGGGGATGCTTAGCTGAATGCTAAATGTTAGTCATAAACTGAAACATGCAGAGGGAAATCATGGTGCTTTCAACTAACGGCTGCTTTGCCAGAAGAGCTTGAGAAAATTTTCTGGGATAATTGTGAAAACAGCTGCAGTTTACTGGAACCACCTGTCACACCGTCTAGAGGTATATTTATGTGGCGGAAAATGGCACTCTCTTTGAACAGGGCACACAAAGAGAACGATATAGAGAGAAAGAGAGAGAGAAAGAGAGATAGAGCACATTCTGGGCTGCAGGTGGTGCAGATGGACTGACTCATGGCCAGAATGCCATAGATTAACACCCAGATGAAAGAGGAAGGCGCTCAACATCGGTTACTTTGGGAAATATCCTGAAGTCTTAAAAACGATCAAAAGTGTGCTCTGTCTATCTGTTACAACCACGAGAGATGAGGCCCTGCATCTATCTGTACTGACCTTGACTGCAAGATTTCCCAGTGTACCCTGGGAGACACCTGCATTTATTGGGTCCAACGCACTCCCCGTGTTCACAGCCGCGTTCACACCGAGCTGGGAAAACATGGAGAGCATGTCACTCACGGCGACGGTGGCTGATCCTGAGGTTGACATAGCTTCCGATAGCATCTACAAACATTGGGGTTTAACATCTAACTGAGAAAGCGAAAAACAAACAAACAAAAAAAAAAACAATTCGGATTTGGCAGATACATGGAGAATTACAGCAATAGCATCTGTTATCAGAACTCCTTTAAGAATTAATTAAATTAATACAAAAAATCAGTTTCACTCAAACAAATTGAAAAGACACGGAATAACTCTTAAATAGTCCTTGGCATTGTTATAAATGAGTAATTATAGGGTTAAATATGCCTTGAAACATTTTGAGTTGAACAGAATTTTGACAACATGAAAAGAAATTGGTGCGATGGTGCAGTAATTATACACTTTACCTGTGCATTGGCCTTTGCTGTTCCTTTCCCACCCATAGCAACAGTCCATCTTGTGTCCATAGTGACAGAGCCCCGTCTGCAAGTCCGGGGAAGCCTGCCTGTAATGTGGGTGACAGGAGCGACACTGCAGCGTGTTAGCTAGCTGTTTAGCATTCCAGATATACACATTCAAAATAGACATTGTCTATAATTCAGGTGAATCATACTATATGAAGGATTCCATAGTTGCTAACAAGCACAGGAACTCGGGTACACAGGTTTGGGAAAAATGTCTTTCGATCTGTTTGAGTGTACTGGGAAATGATTTGGTGTTTCTGTTGGGAAATTGTGTTACCGCTCTCCTTTGTTAACCATCCGATTCACCATAGGCACTGACGAACCGGGCACCTTCAAACAACCGAATATTTCCTTTGAACAAGACTGAATGTGGATAAATGAAGCTAATTAATTACAGTAACTGCACATGTTAACGTTTTGAGTTGTGTACATGGTATGCAGGTCTAATGCCCGTGAAAAGCCAGAGGCAGATACATTACAGACCACTGGAAGGGGAAGGGGTGTTACCAAAGGAGTTGACGGCCAATGACAGAGTTGCTTTCATTTATGTTATGCCACATTTGCACCTTATTCTTTACTGAGGAGACCCAGACATGGCAACTAAGCCAATGTCAACAGTGGTGAAGGAAGTACTCAAGCAATTTACTTAAGAAGAAAAAAATAGGCAAAAATGTACTGCAGCAAAAGTGAAGTACCCTATTGGCCTTTCTACTTAAAGTAAAAGCAGCGTTGGGGAAACCACTTTTAAAAGGTATACTAAGCTCTTCAAGCAACGAGCTACTTGTGGTTAAAAGTAGCTAAGCCACAGCTAAGCTGCTGTTTTAATATAGTATTTAGCTACACTACAAGCTGCTGAGAAAAAGTAGCTAAATACATCGAAAATTAGAAGGGTTACAAAAAACAAGATAGATTTTAATAATCTGTCCAGGAACCAAGTGTTCCTATGCATTTTAATATGTATCTAAAATATTGTTTGCCGTTAAGTATTTTTCAACCCGTTAACATACATTGTCAGAGTATTCAAGCAAAAGGCACCAATCAGAAACACACAATAGTTTAAAATACCTGTCTTTGTAAAAAGATACAAATTATACGTCGTCATTAACTTACCACACTTTATTTTATATGGAAAAATTATCATATGTATAGTATGTATAGTGAAATTAAACCATCTTTAAGTCATATTGTCTGGTGTTTTTAACCTTTTTATCACCATTTTCTTTGTTCATTGTTGTTATAACCTTTTTATCACCGTTTAAGCTGCTAAGACACAAATGGATAGGAATGTATATTGTACTGTCAGCGCAGCGAATTAACACTAGCCTGAGCACGAGATGAATGATATTGCGTCGCGGGGCAACACTCGCGTTGGCAGACGTTGCGCAGTTGCGGCCACATATTTGCGGTCTCAAAACGGTCATGAAGTCCATCAGTCTTAAGTCGCATAGGTCGTAAGTCGATGACGACCTGTAGTATTTTTTTTTAACGATGCAGTGTTTGCAACACTACATTGCAGTTTGTAAAAAAATACATTTATATATATCTGAGAATACCTCAAAAGTAGCTGCGCTACTGATAAGTTTCTGAGAAGATTTATATTTATATTTATTGTCACTGGCCGATCTGTGACCGCATGCGCACTGGGTTTCAGCATACATACACTGCGCAGCATTTCACAGTGCTATCTGATCTTTACCATGTATGCTTCAACAGTTCATGGTTTTCTACTAACCTTTTTATATTCTGATCATTAATATCTTATATTTCGCTACATGCTTAATTGGAAATTTGTGTCAAGGTTCTAAACAAAAGAAAACAATAATGAAATATGAGTAAGTACCATTTATTTTTTCGAGTTAATACAGGGTTGTAACTCTCAAGCATCTGACGCGACACTCACGCTTTCTAACTTAGGCGAATGCAAAAAAATCTACGGCAAATCTATATGATTCCATTATAAACCTGAAATAAGCTACAAGGGGTAGTTTGCAAACCATACAGACTATTTACAAGGTAATAAAACTGCTGCATACATGTAAATGAGTGTGAGCTGACCAAAGTTGGCAACACTGTTAATATTTCATAATGTAATAAGAAATAGGTCTTCTATGGCGTCATTTTATATAAACCATTTATTTATTGAATTTGCAGAAAATGTGCTGTATTTCAATATGTGATATTGGTCATATTGCAAAGCCTTATATAGACGCTCCTCTACTTAGGAATGAGATACGTTCCGAACAGCCGTTCGTCACTTGAAATGTTCGTAAGTCGTTATTCAACATCAATTTAAGGGTATAGGCAAGTACATATAACTAGGATGCTGGGAGCACGCACTCTACGCTGCTGCGCGGCGGGCGTAGTGGCTAGAAGTCGTACTAGGTGGAATTGGCGCACAGAGAAAAAAAACTGATGTTGCGGACAGGAAACAAGAGCCCAATGAACACAATTTGGACTTACTGTCGTCTTTATTTGTATGTCTGAAAGTTCGTAAGTTGAAAGTTCGTAAGTAGCGGAGCGTCTATATATGTTTGTTATTAAAACTTACCAGCTAATGGTCACAGGATTTTCTCATGACATTATCAACATGCTATTCGCAATTCACCAACAAGTTAGTCTGATCACAAACGTCTAAGTATCACCTCTTGCCATTTCAAGAGCCATAATGAATCAAAAGGTGTTGTATGTAGTACAGAACCATCCCATTTATTGCTGACACTACGGTTCCGATTTCTGAGAACAGCTTTTCTGTGCTGCTGTGCTGAAGCCATTTCTTGCAGGGAAAACACACAGAACTGGTTCTGGATTGAGAAAGTCCCTGGCAGCTGTGGCATTGTGTTAATGGAAAGGAGGCATGACAGCTGACAGGATTCAAAACCTCTGACACCTACTCCCTGCTTTGAGTCATTTGGCTTTACTTTTATGAGAAAAGCTCTGAAATCTTGGTATTATCTGTCCCAGGCGTTACCTCTCCGTGTCATAATCCGATTTAAAAAAAAACAGCAATGTGATCTTAAAATGTAATGCAGCATTAAGTAGAAATGCAGTGGATTACAAAGTATAAATATTTACTGTAAGGTGTAGTAGAGTAAAAGTCAAAAGTACTTAAGTAAAGTACATATATGTGAAAAATGTACTTAAGTGCAGTAACAAAGTAGTTGTACTTTGTTACTTTCCACCACTGAATGTCAAGTAGGTGAGATGTCTGGGCTTCTCTCCACATCATCACCAAACAGCAACACCTCAAGATGGACTCCTACCTTCAACCAGACTCCTGCCGGCAGCTGGACTCCTACAGGTACCTGCAGTCTGACTCCTACCTGCACTCTGACTCCTACCTGCAGCTGGACTCCTACCTGCAGTCTGACTCCTACCTGCAGTCTGACTCCTACCTGCACTCTGACTCCTACCTGCAGTCTGACTCCTACCTGCACTCTGACTCCTACCTGCAGCTGGACTCCTACCTGCAGTCTGACTCCTACCTGCACTCTGACTCCTACCTGCAGTCTGACTCCTACCTGCAGCTGGACTCCTACCTGCAGCTGGACTTGTAATTCCAGCCAGGTGCTTACTGCAAAAAGGTGTGTGCAGGTCTTCTCCCCTCAAATGGTGTCATGCCACATATTTCAACAATAGTTCTAGCACCAATATATGTGTGGAGGGCTGATATGGTGATAGAAATCATGTGACGAAAAACGTTTGGCTGGGATTAATGATGGGAGATTAATCCCATCCTAGATGGCTGAAGATGCTATTTTCACTTCCCCCAGACAGCCCACAGAAATGCACCCCCCATGGGTAAAATGAGAAGGTGTAGAGGTACTGTAAGCATGACACAAGAAGTGTGCTTGTCCAGTAAGCCCTGATCCGCTCTGTACCAGAGCAAAATTAAAGGTTAATGACCTCATAAGCATGCTTACCTGTAGAGGTCTGCAGTTCCAGTGGACGGCTTCACCAGAAGAGCCAGGGCACCGAGCCAGGCCAGGACCAGCATGCCTTGGGTTTTTCAGGTGAAGGAGATCTTCCTCTGAGTCTCAGTGGGGTGTTGTAGTGGGGACTCACTTCCCTGGTATCTGTCTGTCTGCTTCCCTCGCTTGTAAGTTAGTGCATTCTGTGGCTCTCTCCGTAACCCTCCCCTCCCTCTCTCCCTCCCTCTCTCTCTCTTTCTCTGAAGGACCTGAGTTGAATCCCAGATGATCCCGTTCCTGTTTTTTCGTCTTGTTCCATTCTGAAATTCCAGAGGTGAACTATCGTTCCATAGTGACACGAACGGGGTGGGGGGGGGTTAATTTGGGGAGGGTTGAGAATTGATTTAAAACATGACTGTTTTCACATTTCCCTACTTATTAACCCCCCCCCCCCCCCCAGTGTTAGGTATTTTCATGCACGTCACTTCCAAAGCATGTATCCTTAGAGCAAACCTTCCCTTCCCAATGGGCCCCCCATCCAGAGGCCCCCGGGACTAGGCACACACAGGAAATGGCCCATGAGCTCAGGTAGAGGACCCCCTGTGACTCCCTTGCTACACATGGCAGGGTGCTGGCCAGCAGAAATGGGACTGCTGCAGACCTTTCAGCCAGGACGCTTTAAAAGGAAACTATTTCATTTACAGAGATGTCGGCTGACCAGTAACTTCCTTCAACAGCATACATTGCTCCTGATCAAAGAAACAGGCTGCATAAAGATCAGAATACAAGCGAACTGCTGCAGAGCTTTGAAATGCAGTTTTGTAGCATTAAAACCCAGATGCAGCTTAAACATTTCAAATATCATGCAAAGACCTGACAGCTTCTTCACCTGACTCTAGGGTAGATCCTGGGACCACAACAGGCGTGGATCTTAGGGGTGGCTAGGGGTCATAAATCTGGCTGATTAATTCACCAGCACTGATCCTATCCCTCTGGTCTCTAAGTTTTTATCCCTGCCCCCTCCCCCATAAATATAACTAGCCCCTATAGGCCATCCCAATCAAGATATTCTGCAGGCTCTACTGGACCGAAAAGCTTGTGTGTGGTTCATGCCATTTAACACTGACTGTTAACTGAACCCACAAGCCTATATATCTACAATGGACATCGAGCATCCTGCTCCAGGCTGGATGATCCAAGCTGGGTGTGAATGTGTTCTCCTGTGCCAGGCTGAGCCTGACTGGGCGGCACTACATCACCTGGAAACTGGCCAGTTACAATCACACTGACAGGTGCCTAACACCAGGAGCAGCTGTGGTGATGGGTAAACGAAAAGTTTGAAACCTACATAGCAAACGGTTCATTTTTAGTGAAGTACACAATCACAATAGTGTGTTATTTTATATAACTTAATCCCCCCAACTGTTTATACATTACGGGGGTGGGGGGCTGAGTGAAGCTTGTCCCAGACAGTGGAATACCCTGGATGGGATTCTACCCCATGACAGGACACACACACCATTTAGAGCTGCACTTAGTACCAGACTATCCCAAGGAAACCAACATGACACGGGCACAAGGGTAGAACATGGTAACCCTACATATAGAGAGGGGGCAGAATTCAAACCCATACCCCCCCTGCACGTGTAGTGTGAGGCAGCAGTGCTACCCACATGCCATCAGTACAGTAAACACTAAACTATCATTTGGAATTGAATAATAAAAGATCTCTCTAAGATTTACTCTTATTACAAAGAACAGGTATAAGTTTCCGCCTAGGTTTCAGCACATTTTTATGGCTTTAACTCCACCTAACCTAGTGGGGACCGTCCCTTCATTCCTATGGGCAAAACCCTAATCCCAACAATGACAACCTTAACCCCAATCCAGCCCTAACCTTAATCATAAGTAACCAAACAAAGTCTTTTGGCTTTTTTTCGTTTTTTGATTGTAGCCACAGATTTTTATAAAATTGAATTCCCCCTTGTGGGAACCAAAAAAATAAATTACATTGTGGAGATATTTGGTCCCCACAATGTAATGTGTACCTAGACCACACACACACACACACACACACACATACTTCATGCAATGTTACCCTTTTCCACCACAAGAGAGCGCCTGTGAGCATTTGGACAATGCCATACCATCAGTGGATTACAGACAGACAGACACAAACAAATGCAGGAACCAAAGCATATCAAAGCACCGAGGCTTTATCTGTTTCTCCTCTGTTTGAAAATCCATCTGGTTACTTATTGACTAGTAGACTTGATACTTCACTCCTTTAGTCTCCACGACTAGGACCATGTTTCTCGTCACATAAGAATGACAATGTCTGCTTTCTATGTTCTGATAAGCTGTAATTTATCTGCTCACAGCTGCTTGTTCAGGCTGTACTGGAGTATAATTTACCTTATCTACAGTATATATTTTCTGCTTTAATTCATACTGCACATGTGACACTGATTTTTTGGTTATAAACTACCTATGGTCCATTTTTAGAGGTGTGCATTCTGTTTCAGTATTATTGTACCAGTGCCTGTCTAGTCATCTTGAGCTGTCTCGCCTACACCCTGAAATTTCATTGAGACGGTAGTGGAATTTTACCAGGGGGAAGAGCTGCTGCTGGTGTGACTTTTTCAGCCAGTAGGGGGCGATCTCTGTTAGATGTTGCTCAGGCTCACAATAGGAAGTTCCGTTGTTTCACATCCTGCTTTTTTTCTGAACTTACTAGCTCAACGCATGGCAAGGGGAACAAACCCACATGGACGGCCGATTTTGTCAAAAGGAAAATAAACAATTCAGAACAATCTGAAGTAATGTGACCTTTGCAGAAACTGCAACTGAACCTTCAGAAGCATCTTAGCTGCTGATCAAAGTCCTTGCGCTTTGCAGTGGGACCTTATGTGAATGTGCAGCCAGCTTCTCTCAGGAAACATCTGCACCAACATCCTGGAATGCTGATATCTGCTTTTTTCTCTGTCTCTCCATTTGAACTTTTGACATCAATGGGCTCCTGTAGGCACCATGCTACTTAACCCTCCAACACGAGTGCCAGTTATGATACGTGGGAACATCTGTGGTCTGGAAGACACAATGCAAACTACACAGAGCCTGCCTGTGCTCTGTCCTTGGGAGCATAAAGCTAGTGACAGTCATCCTGAAATCAGCAGGTTGTGCATGACATCATCAAGGTCAGTCTTGTCTGACTTACAGGTATCATTTGTAATACACAGTGAAGAAGGAAACCACCAGCCTTGACTATAAAAGGAAATAGGGGATTCGTAGTAGAGTTATTTTTGAGAAGGCCTGCCACCCAACCACATCCTGCCCCAAGCCGTAGGATACACTGCGCCTGTCACTGCTCCATGCTGCGGCAGATTTAGCTAAGAGCGTAAAACAAAGGTGTTCTGATCATCAAGGTAGGAGTCACTATGCGACGTTAAGTGTCTCTGGAAATGCCCGATAAAGGCCATCAATATCCACCGTATTGAGGGTGTGGCATTTGAGCAGTATCAGACTGTCATATCCCCTGCCCATTCGGCACCCCCAGCACCCAGCATTCGTCTTCCTCAAATCACATTTTCACCTCATTTGCAACGAGTGCTGTGTGCATAGGGACATGGCAAACTGAATGTCAGCCACATAGTTAAGCAGCTTCTTTGTATCCATAGCGTGGGCTAAATGTGCATTAGCTTAGCAGACTGCAGCCTTTGCTTGGGTGCATATAGCCATCAATGAACCAGGAAGACCTTTCATTTTCAGTCACAGGGGTTTGCCAGTTTCCAAACTCTTTATCTTTGAATATGACTTGTTGACTGTCGCCGTTAAATGCCGTTAGTGTGTTACGTGAAGTGGGCCAGACTGTTTCTCATTAGACGTCTTCCATAAATGTGTCTGTGATCATCTATATAGTGACATAATGCACTTACTCATTGCTCTGGGATGAAATGTGAGGCTAATTAGGACAATATCCTAAAGGGAGAAGCTTTCAGCAGTGCAGGCAGGTACAGCAGTAAAACGTTTATGGAGGAACTGCTGTACTTCAGGCTTTTATGACCACTGGTTCTGCTTTTATGCTCTGTGGCACCACATGTTTATTTTGATCAGCTTAGTGTTAGAGGAATTCCTGCAGCAGGATGGACCTTTAACATTTTTTCTGTGAAACTTATACCCTTTCTACTGTGCTAATGATATATATCCAGAATATCCAAATTTTTGCATATATGTTTTATATATTTTTTGAATATCCAAGTTTTTTTGTTTTTATTGTATTATATGTATTATATTGAGAGCATTTTTTATCTTTATATGTGCCAGAAGAGAAGAACCCAGAGACTACAGATGTAAATGAGCCTTATGGATAACTCTGGCATATTGGCATTAATGTTGTTAATATGCATTGTCCTTTTACATTGTTAAAAAAAAAAACACTAAACAAACAAAGAAGCATTGTGCTCTGTTCTGCCTGGGATGGGCTCCCCCCTCATGAGACTGACCAGGATAAGCTGAAGATGGATGGATGAGTAGGTGGGTGGATGGATGGACACGTTCCTAATACTGATAGGTAATCTTGTATTCTACAGAGTTGTGCTGATCCACATTAATGCAACGTTTAGGTCAACTTGGGACAGTTTCTTCCCCACATGGGCTGTGTGTTTGTCCCCCATCCCGTTAGTGGACATACGTAAGTGTTGGAGAAGTTGTTGGTGCGCCCTGGGTGTTCTACAATGGCTGAACATTATTCATGTATTTGTTGGTAGACTGCTGGTCATTAGCGCATCCCACAGGTCCACTAGGGGCAGTACGGTGTGGTGGAGAGATCAGAGGAGGGCTGAGAATGTGCAACTCGAGGTTACCTCAGCTTTCATTACTAACCAGAGCATGGTCGACCAAGAAAATAAATATTGCCAATGATATTTGAGCAGCCTCCTTCCGAGGAGTGTTATTAAATTGGGGCACCGCCAGCTGCTTAAGTAACGTTCAGCACGTGAAGTAACGTTCAGCACGTGAAGTAACGTTCAGCACGTGAAGTAACGTTCAGCACGTGAAGTAACGTTCAGTACACAGCAGAGAAAGTTTTCTGGTAAGGAGCAGCCTTACGAGAAGGATTTTTCACTGCTACTCTGTTTGTGCCAATTACTGCTCGAACACTCCCAGATGTTTTCGCAGGGACGGGGGTGCTGACACCCTC